GTATTAAGCAACCAAAAACCAAGCATCTTATCCTCAAAGGTAACACCAACATTAGAAAATTGATCTAGCACACTTTGAAACTTATTTACATGATTAGAGATAGGTGTACCCTCAACATACTTCAAATTGATCAATTGCTTCACAAGATACAACTTGTTGTTACCTTCCTTAGAAGCATACACCTTCTCCAGTGTCAACCAAAGTTCTTTTGCATTTCTTTCATTTACAACAAGATTCCTGACATTATCATCCAACCACATTCTAATGAACCCACACACCTATGGATGCTCAAACTTCCATTCTTCATCACTTTTAGAATCCGGCTTATCCAAACCAAACACAGGTAGATGTATACTTTTAACAAATAACAAATCTTGCATTTTACCGTTCCACGAGTGATAATTCATATCAGTCAAAGACACCATCTTACTACTAGTAACATCCATGGTATTAACCTCTATAATTCAAGTAAATCAAATCAAAGCCACCAACCAGTGGCTCTTATACCACTCTGTTGCGAGGCAAGGACCAAAACACAAACCAAACTAGCTACTCAAACACAATAGCTAGTAAGTAGCATAGCTGAAATAAACCCAAGGCCTCCCCAATTTGCAAGAATCTAATAAGAGCAAAAAATACTAACTACATCAAGTGGAAGTAACCAAAGCAACAAGCAATGAGAAACAAAAACGGTTCCATTTGATCACGGATTATGGACCACAATCTGTATGATAAAGCTTACTACCGGTAGCAGTTGGGTTGCACGAAGCAAAGTTAACGTTAGAGTTGAGATTAAAACTCTGAATGAAAGCACTAAATGATATTACTTTGATTCCTGTTGGGATTAGAAACTCCAAAAAATTAAAGGAAGAAAGAGAGATTTTACAAAACTAAACCGTCATTTTATTTTTCCTTTATGTTAAAATAAAGATTACACTATATAAATAGACTCTTCATCCTAAATAAAAAGGATCAACACTTCCTTAACTTATCCACTAAACAATGATTCTAATAATACTGGAAAGCGAGTGACTAATCCTAAATAAGAAAACTACTAATTTATCTAGATAAAGCTAATTAAGATGTTGTAAAACTTAACACCAATTCCTGGCATAACAGTTTTTTTTAGGCGAGAGGATAATAATAATAATAATAATAATAATAATAATAATAATAATAATAATAAGATGTTGTAAAACTTAACACCAATTCCTGTCACATACATAGGGATATTGGTACTTAATGGTACACCATAAATATCTTGTTGTTTCAACTTTCCATTTTATAAGTATCGTTTCCAAGTTTTTTCTATCCACTTTCATTTTTTTTATTCGGGGATTGTAGACTTGTAGTTTATCTTTGCTTTACAATGTCAAAGATGGAACACATTGTGTCAAGATCTGTTGGTTCAACTTAAATTGGCCCATTGATTTATATGAATAATGATCTAATTAACCATATCTAATTCTGTCCTACTAACAAACACAACAATATCTCCAACGGCTCATTGGTGAGCTTGGCAAAACTGACACGTGACCCGCGGGTTGATCTAACCCGTCCATAGTATTGAACTGTTTGAGTTGGGTCAAATGGGTCGCGAGTTGAACGAATGTCAAGAACTCTTTAACGGGAATCTCTAATTTAGCTAAATAGGCCACAAAAAATGAAAAGGGGGAGACTTAGAGGGTTGAGATGTAGAACCAATTCAGAAAGGGAAGAATATGGATCGGGAGACATATATATTTCAGAATTTAGAGCAACGAATCTGAATTTTCATTCAATATTTTCAGAATTTTGTTTACAATCTGGTCCTGAGGGATTTAAGGTCTAAGAACTATTATCATAAAATTACAATCAATTTTTGTCCTTTATTTATTTAGTTTTTTTTTGGTATAATTCTTAAATAATCCCAAAGCCATTACAAATCTCCACTGTTATATTAAGTCTTGTCCTCCAGGCCAAAAGTTGTTCTTTGCACTTGGTTGTTTCTTTTATTTGGAAATGAACACAGAGTCAGTTACTTTTAGTGTAGAACAGCAAAGATCACAGCTTTGACGCAGAAAGGAAAACAAGTTTGTTTAGTTCAAATTAAGCACGTTTTCCAAAAGACATTTGCTTTGCGGAGACTAGTGGTGGCGGACAAACTGAAGATAGTGAAGACAAAGATAAGGGAGAACAAGGCATTGACGAGGAAGTCGTTCCGTCAGATGAGTCCACAGATGAAGACAATGATACTGATATATCTCAACACCCCAAATAGCAGGCTTACGGTGACATCAGTTTATGGGGCAAGTCTTTTGAGGAAGAGGATCCTTATGCTCCAAAAATGGGGGACCGTAATCATGAGCATATTACATAAGGGACACGTGTTATGAGCAAGGATAAAGCATAGGCTGTTATAAGTGATTGGCCTGCGAAGCGAGGTAGGACTTTCATCACGTTGGGAGCACTAAAGGAACATGATGTGTTCAATGCGCGGCCTGCGTGCCAAATTATTTCCTTTTTTTTTTCTCCTTCTATCTAATGGACTGTCACAAAATACTAAAATAGCAATCAAAACTATTATAGGTTTTTAACATATGAAAGACCAACCTTTTAAGTAGGATGATTCAGAGTAACATAATGTTAAAAATGTAAATAAAGATGGAATGAGACCTGATAAAAGCCAGCCCTTAAAAATTACTTTATTCAACTAAAACATTGGCAATAAAGTGAAATAGTTATCACTTTATTATAAAGAGATGAAATGAATATATTTTTCACCTTAAGTTTAGAATGATAGTTTACCCATTTCTGATTATGATCATTTTAGACGAACAGTATTTGGTTCTTTTCTTTTTTGGGCGATGGGTTGTCGGAAATAAAGATAGAAAGATGAAAATGAAAAATAAATTGAGATCCGCATTTTTTTTTCTTTATTTTTTTTTGAAGGTTTTAACCTATAAAAGATTCAGAACCTTTTAAGTAGAACGATGAAGAGAGAAATGACGTTAAAGATCGGTTTGTTGATGATATTAGACCCGCTGGAAGATGGCCTTTCATAATCAAATAAAACTTATGGATAATTTCTCTTTCAATAATTTTTTTTTTTTTTACCATAATCCTTGGACAAGTAAATAGTGCTCGATCTATATTTCTTTCTTCTTCTTCTTTTTTTTTTTTCAGTTCAATGGGCTATTGAAAATGAAGATGGAAAGAAGAAAATGAAGATGAAATGGCATCCGTCGGTTCTTTTTTTTTTCAACAGGTTGTCAAAAAATTCTAAAATAGCAGCCAAAACCATTCAAGTTTTTTAATCTAACAAACACTTGGAACCCTTTAAACTGGACGATCCAAAGTGAAATGCTAGATGAATATAAAGATAGAATGAGATTCACCAGAATACGAGCCTCTTATAATGAGATAACACTTTTCAGTTTTTGAATAATTTCTCTTTGGACAAGTAAGTAATACTTGATTGTTCTTTCTTTTTTTTTTCCTTTTTTTTAGTTCAACGGATTGTCAAAAATGAAGATAGAAAGATTAGCTGAAGATGGAATGAGATCTATCTAACCTTCTTCTTCTTTTTCTTCTTTTTTTCCTTTGATCTAACGGGCTGCCAAAAACTTCTAAAATAATAGCCAAAACCATTGTTGTTTAACCTACAAAAGACTCAAAACCTTTTAAGCATGACCACGCAAAATAACATGGTATTAAAGATAATAATGAAAATTGAATATGCCTTCCCGGAACACGACCCTTAAAAATTACTATATTCAACTAAAACATTGTAACAAAGTGAAATATTTATCACTTTACTAGAAAGAGATGGAATGAATATATTTTTCACTTTTTTGTTTTGCAAGAAAATTTACCTATTTTCTTATTACACTCATTTTGGTCGAATGGTAATTGTTTGCTCTTTCTTTTTCTTTTTTTTTTTGGTTCGACAGCCTGCCGAAATTAAATAGAAATATGAAAATGAAAATGGAATGAGATCCGCACAATTTTGCCTATTTTGCAATTTAGTCTTTGACCAGAGGGAAATACGAAATCACTTATAATTATACAAATACTATCTAATTTTTACTATATTATGATGAGAAAGTGGGTAACAGTAATGCTCATAATCATAATCATGCAAGTTTGACACTCATCATATGGTGCAATTGAAGTTAAATGATGCTTAAGTAATTAGATTGGGAAAAAATTGATGTTACAACTGTGCAATATTCCTATGAAATTATTGTTAAACTTTCCTACTTCCTATAATATGGTAGCAGGTATTTCAACAGTGCTTAATTTTCTTTTACATTTAGATTTCAATTATTTTACTGTGGACCATGTTTCATTTATCTTACTTGCAACCAAATGGAAGATAGTCTAGGCAAGGTGAGAATCTAAGAAGCGAAAAGTACATAATTACTATACACATTAAGGCTTTTTGCTTCACTTTTAAAAAACAAAGGTAAATCATCTGAATGCTATCTTAACTTAGACACATAAAACTTTCTTTATTTTTCCATCTCTAGAACAGTTTCAGTTAATGATAAGAATAGATCAAAGAAGATAATCTAATTTGCAAAATCATTTATGACACAAATTCTAAGTTGATTTTACTTACACTATGCTTGGAATCCAAAACATCGAAAATCTTTTCAAAGAATAGAACCGAAATTCAAATAATTTTAAAACTTGAAAAAATTCTCCAAAATACCAACAACAACAACAACAACAACAACCATAATAATAATCCAATCCTACCAGTGTGTTTGCCCTCAAGTTAAAAGTCCAAAGCAATCAACAACAGTTATTAATTTCATAAAGATCAATAATCAAAAGACGATTAGTTCGCATTTGTAATGAATGTATGCGTCAAAATTGCACAAATTAAAAGAAGATTGAAGATTCATACATCTTTGAAAAATTTATTGCAAGTGCACATTCATTTGAGTTCGACCAAAGCTCGATTCTAGTGCAGAAAATACAATTATCAAATATAGAAATCTATTTAAATATCATTACAGCTTCTCTTCATCAATCTCCATGAATTCATTCTTTGGATCTAGCATAATCAAGCTGCTCATCATTGGCAAAAAGTCCAAGTTATCAGCTCCTTCCATCAGATTTTTCCCAAAAGCCCTAGTCTCATTGCTACGGAAATTGTGCAAATACAACTCAATAGTTCCCTCATCAACATTACTTTTCACGTAAGCAATTTCATCCTCCACGGTAATCATCGTAGGAACATGAATGATCCCGTTAAGGACAACATTGAAGACTGTACTCCAAGAGCTTTGATTTCCATATTCATCCATAATAAAGAATGAACAACGTTGTTGATCAGTAGTATACAGGTTTTCGGCAGTCAGAAATGAAAGTTTGCCATTGTAAACGGTGACCTCATTAATCACGGACACTTGAAAGTTGTATTGGTCAGGCAACTTTACTTCTCCAAAAACTTCATTCAAAAAATCAAATGAGAGAATGACTGGGGCGTCCATTGTGTCATCTTTGCGGAACGCCCGCCAATGGACACAATTGTTGAGAAAAGCCCTAGAAAATGAGTCACATAGATACCATAATGCGACATTTGGTGCCTTAATTTCTCTCCATGTGTTAGTTTTCAGTGAGAAAACTTCAACATGGGTGACATTTTGGGAAGCAACACTAGTACTTGCATCAAGGAAATATGAACTAATAACAACTTGACCAGGATTATGAGCAGCAATCATATTTCTTGCATGAAAGAAATCATCTTCCTCCTCCTCATCATCAGGCTCCTCCACATACACAATTCGAACAATCTTATGTTCGTTTGTTTCGAAAATATAACCGAATCCAAGAACTAACTGAGTGAAGTCATCAAACGTAAAATTCTCTACACCAATGCTTGATGAAGTTATTTTCAAAGATTTTCTAATGAACGGGTTCCATAAATGGATTATAACCCCATACCTATCCGGATCAGTAAGACAAACCAAACCAGCACAAGACGAAACTATCTGGCAACAATTACTATCAATTTGACATGGGATTTTTTTCATGCAAGAAATATCTAAAGGGTTCATATACAAGAGTGATTTGAAACGTTTTAGAGGGTTACCACAGATAATGTTTGGACCAGATAGAAGGAATTTGTTGCCTCCATTATATGATGCTTGGAAATGGTGGTTGATAAATTCCCGAGATGCAATGAAGGAATACCAAAATTTCGAGACGCACATCAAACACACCAAAGCCTCGACTGGGAGAAACATCAAAACTTTCATGATGATCTCCCATGGAAGATCTTGTAAGTGACAAAAGGACTCCATTGTTGGCTAATCAAGGTAAAAAGAAAAGGAATTAGCTGCTTTTGTTTCCTTTTCTCTCTTTTGGCGATTTATTTTTTCTTCAAAATTTAATTTTGTATGCAGGCTGGTATGAATGCTTACAATTTCTTGAGCAATGTTTCATTATATACGGCACAATTCGGTTGATATTATATCATTGCGTAGTTGATTGTTTAGACAAGATTCTCTGTATTACTTTGTTATAGAGATCAAAATTTTGTAAATTTTACATTCCATAATTTCCAAAAGAATTCACAAAAGGAGAAATAAAATAAAAGGCTGATAATTTTGACCTTCATCTACTTTAACATATTCTGGTGATGAAAACAATTTCAATCATTTCCAATCAGTGACATTTCTTTTCCTACCTTTTTTCTTTTCCTTTTGGTAATTTAGTTTTTTGTAAATCATCATAAATAAGAAATGTAGTTGTAAGGTGCATTGCTGCCATTCTGAACGCACTTTTTGCTAACGTTCATCCATATATATTTTAGAATGAATTTGCCATTAAATCGAGAAAATAGTTTCTCACGAGCACAAAATCATTTAATTTTTGTGTTATTGTTTGCCTATCAATGTTTCTCCAAAGTCTATGTACGTCCAGAATTTCAGAACTAATGTAATCAACCAGAACACTTCATATGTCATAAATTAAAGAAATGAATGATCTTACTATGATATGATCTTATACGAATTGGATCCATTATATTAATTTGATCCTGGCTCCATTGCACTTTTCACTTAATATTAAAAGTTGGGTAAATTATTATTTGATCTCTAAGTTTTGAACTTTGGTGGTAAAATCAAATCCATATAAATTTGAGAGGACGATCGGTGTGACTTTATAATCTTTTTCATAATCTATAATTCAGTACATAATCTCCTGCATGTACCAAGTGTTTTGTAAGAGATAAATTGATATGAAAGTAGTGACTAGTGTTCCCATGCATCTATTATTCAGTTCATTCCGATGTCTATTTTAATTGGTCTGTATATGTTTATTGTTGTGGCGAAAAGAGTATAAACACAACAAACCAGCGGAAACGAATTCCAAAAATACTCCTTTCCTACTACCAATAAAATAAGACAACCAACCAAACAAGCAAAATAATCAAAGAACTGATAAAGTAAAATATGCACACAGATTTACGTGAAAAATCCAAATCGGAAAAAACTATGGGACTGTAACAACAGTCAAATCTCCACTACCACAATAATGGAAAAATAGTCTTCACCAACTGGTGGATACACAGGACTACACACAAAGGTAGATTACAACAATACTCTTCCAAAATACACCTACACTACAAAGTAGATTAGATTGGAAGGATCTCACCAAAAGAGAGTTAAACCAAAAACTAAACTGGAAGAATTGTAGATCTTGTTGAGAGGAACACACATGCAAACTTGCACCAACAACTGACTCTGTTTCGTCACCCGATCAACCCCAAAACCCTAGTTTGTTCTCTCTTTTCTATCGCACAAAAGCAAGTAGTGCGGCTGCCCTTTTCTTTTTGCCAAACTCGCGCAAAAAGTCACGCCAAAAACACCAAGGACCAAGGGTTTATATAACCCACGGCCAACACCGATCCAAACCAAGTTTGGACATGGTTTTCTTCTTTATTATCCAGTCAAGAAAACCAAATCCATCATGGATTTTGGCTTCCAATCATGCTGGGCCCAGTTGAAGTGAGCAGGCCCAACAATTGGGGGGGGGGGGGATAAAACCAAACTGGCTTCTTGCCTACAAAACAGGAACTTGTCTCTACTCACAATTTTCGTCAACATATCGGCACCATTGTTATCCGTATGGATCTTCTCAAGAAACGATGCCTTGGACTCCAACAAATCCCGAATCTAATGATATCTCGCATTAATATGTTTTGACCGCGAATGAAATATAGAATTTTTCGCTAAGTGAATATGGCTCTGGCTATCACAATACATCACATACCTCTCTTGCTTCATGCCAAGCTCTTGTAGAAACTTCTGCAACTAAAGTGCTTCCTTACAAGATTCAGTAGCTACGATAAACTCTGCCTCTGTAGTAGACAAAGCAACACACTTCTGCAACCTACTCTGCCTTGAAACTGCTCCCCCTCCATAAGTCATCAAGTGACCAGAAGTAGACTTCCGACCATCCAGGTCTCCCGCCATGTCAGCATTTGTATATCCATCTAACATGGTCCTTTCGTTTCCGAAGCAAAGACTCAATCTGGAAGTACCTCTAAGATACCTGAGAATGCACTTCACAGTCCAATGCTCGTTACCAGAATTGGAGAGAAACCGACTAACAGCACCAACTGCATGAGCTATGTCTGGCCTTGTGCAAACCATCGCATACATCAGGCTGCCAACTGCCAAAGCGTAAGGAGCCTTTTTGATCTCTTCTTTATCTTTCTCACTTTTAGAACACTTCATTTTGCTTAGCATAAAATGCCCCGCAAGTGGAGTCAAGACTTCCTTAGGACCGCTCATGTTAAACCTATCAAGAACCTTCTCAATATCATTGCCATACTCCAAGAATAACACTAATTGGATTTGCCATCAAGTTTTGACTTTTCATCTTTAAGAATATGAACAAAGGTACGAGAATTAAAAACTAGCAAATAACCAAATGAGACATCTTTCCCTATCCATATTCGCTTTGGTAGATCACCATCCAACGGAACTACGGGAGATAGGTTGATCAAATCAACTGCTGTCTGCATGGCTTTACCCCAAAAAGATTTAGGCAGTTTTGTACTCAAGAACATACACCTAACCTTTTCGATAATAGTTCTGTTCATTCTTTCTGTCACGCCATTCTGCTGCGGAGTCTTCGAAACACTCTTCTGAAGTTTATTGCTATGGTCTTGGCAATACTTCTCAAACACCCCTGTACTCACCAACATTATATGCTCGAATACACTTCAACTTCTTGCCAGTCTCTCTTTCAACTCTAAGGTGAAAGTCTTTGAACACATCTAATACATGATTTTAAGATTTCAAAGAAAAACACCAAACTTTTCGAGCATAATCATGAATGAAAGTAATGAAGTACAATGCACCACCCAATGACCTATCTTTTATATAACATACATATGTATGAACTAACTCTAAAGGACTGGACTTTCAAGATGGAAGAGAATTTTGAAAGGAGAGAGACTGGCAAAGCTTTAGCTCCGAAGCAAATAACAAGTTGTTCCTTGCGATGGCAACCACTAGAGCCAAGAGAGACATTTCTAAATACGGATGGATCAGCTTTAGGCCAACCAGGAGAAGCTGGATGGGGATATGTACTCCGAGGAGAAAGAGGTAAATTCGTACGAGTAGAATGCAAATACATGGGACAAGCTTTGAGTCTAGAAGCAGAGATTGAAGCCATTCTAAATGGATTAAAGGCTTGCGAGGTAAGAGGAATATCACAAGTGGTAGTCCAAACGGATAGTAAAATGATTGTGCAAACTCGTCGGAAAAATGAGGTTCCCTGGCGCTACAATGCATAATTTTGACAGATCAAACAAATTTTAAATGCTTCCAGTTGAAAAATAGTTCATATCTATCATGAAGCGAATAGCATGGCTAATGTTTTAGCAAAACTATCTTCCCGAGGAGTTACTACTCAATCTCATTCGCACGAGAACCTCCCAATCTTGTTGCGAGGAAAGTGGTACTTAGATAAATGTTCGTTTTCCATATTTTAGGATTAGATAGTTTTTTGAATGTAAAATAAATGAATATTTATACATTTGATTAGGAAAATAGAGGAGTCATGGGCCTTATGTTCAAACCTTTGAGACTCTCTTAGCTTCAGAACTTAAATGTAGAGATGTCATGGGATTTTAGCTTAATCCCTGTAAGGCATCTTTTTAGACTTAAAACCAGAGCTATCAGGGAATTTTAGAAAATCTTTGTAAGACAGGCTCTTTTCTTTTGGGTAAGTCTTAAACACTACATGTGTAACTTCTTTTTTACAATTAATAAAATCGGGGAACGCCCGCCAGGTACCCCCCCTGGTTCTCTTAAAAAAACAAAAAAAAAAGAGCATTGGAGGTATTGTGAGTTGCATTCACCTCTCTATTCTTCAACTTGCAGTACCTTTCGCCTTGAAAAAAATGCTTCTTACCAAGAATCTGCTACCCCTTGACACTTATGTGTACAAGCCTTCTATGCTAGAGATCAGTGGAGGTATTGTGAGTTGCATTCACCTCTCCATTCTTTAACTTTGCATTCAACACATACAAAGAATTCAACTTCTTTCCTCTAGCAATAACAAGATTCGCTCTAGTAATTGTTCAACGGCCACCACCTTCAGTGCTACGATAACCCTCATCATCAAGTTTGCCAACGGAAATAAGGTTCAGATGCATATCTGGAACATGTCTAACATCTTTCAAGACAAGAGTACAACCCGTATGTGTTACCAATGACACCTCTCCCATGCCAACAACATCGCATGATGCTTGGTTGCCCATTCTTACATGACCAAAATCTCCAGGTGTGTAAGAGGTGAAGAAGTGTCTGTGAGGATTCACGTGATAAGACGCACCTGAATCACCGAACCAATCACTGTCATGATTCGCAACATTAATTGCATCATCATCATAGTAAACAAATGCATCACTGGTAATTACTACTACAGTAGTGTCATCATCACTTGATTCATCTTTCTTGCATTTACCTTTTCTCGCTGCTAGTTCTCTCTTGAGAACTCTACACTCTTTCTTAAAGTGCCCTTTCTCTTGACAATGGTAGCACACAATATCTCTCTTGGATTTAGACCGTCCCCTAGACGTGTCATTACGATCACGTGGCCCTCTGCTATTACTTCTCCCTCTTCTGTCTGATTTTTCTGTCACCAGAGCCTGTGACTCAGACTCAATACTCTGCTCTTTTCTTCTGGCTTCTTCATTCATCAAAGCCTCTTTCACCTGATCCAAGGTCAAGACACGATCCTGGGTTGAATTATTGATTGACACTACCAAAGTGTCCCAACTGCCTGGATCGTAGGTATGAAAGTAGTGAGATATGATTGAAATGGGGTTTGATAGTATCCTAATTTCTATGTCAATTTCCAGTGAACTATCATTCCCATGTCTAGTGCTTGGTAACATAAGATTTTGGAATGAAAATTAACCATAAATATCATCTTTAGCCCTAACAGAAAATCACCAATAGGCACAAATTAAACCAGTCATAATTTTTCAAATTAAAAAATCGGTGACAACGGCGATGTATAGATCCTTTTCTATCCAGGTTTTTATTGTTTTTAACCTCTTAAGAATAGATTTAGAGGAAAGTTGATATTGAGGCCGTTCCATCTAAAATTTGTGGCATAAGAAGAATTGATGAAAGTGGTGGCTCGGAAAATGGTGAATTTGGTTGACACCGGGGAGTTAGAAATGGATAGTGAGCCTTCCGGATAATCAAATCTGGGCAGCTTCCCATGGTTGCGGTATCATGGTCACAAAATCAAGAGAGGGAGAAGAATATGAAGAAAAAGGTAGGATTTATACTTCAAAATTCTCAATAGGATAAGATGGATTTGAACTAGTTCTGAATTTTGGTGGTTATGGTGGAAGTGGAAGAGAAGCATGGTGGCTGCGGTGGCTATGGTGGAAGAAGGAGAAGCATGGTGGCTATGGAGAAAGTAGAGGAGTTGGACGAAAAAGTCGTTGTAAGGAGAAGAAGATAAGGGTAAATAATTGGAAAAAAATAAAATTCTTATCGCTTAGATTCAAACCCACCTAAATAGATGGGAATGGAAAATTGAACTATAGAGGGATTGAAAACTAACAAAGTGGGCCAGTGTCATTTCAGATTATTGAACCAAGCAACAAAAATAGATTTGAAACCCATAATCTAGATATGACACCCACTAAACAAGCACCTCCTTAGTATGAGGTCAATGTGAAAGTTACGTAATTTTCGGGAAGTCTGAGGATTTGATAAAATCTTTCCATATATATAAAAACATTACTTTGTATTTATTAGTTTCCTAAATTAAATTCAATTTAGGAATAAAAAATAAAATGCTCAAAGTTGACTAATATTTCCAAAAATGCAAGAACATAATAATAATAATAATAATAATAATAATAATAACAAATAAATAAATAAAATCCTGAGATTTTGGTTCCTTTTTTTGAGACTCAAGGGAGGAAGAAACGTGGACAAATTAAGCCAGAAGGAATAATTTTAATTGGCAGGGGTAGTAATGCCAACGTAGTCTTGCGCTTGCGTTAAATGGTGTTGAATAGATACTGTTTGAGTAGTAAAGAAACAAGGGGAGCACGTCAAAGTCACGTGGGACTAACCAAAAAAAATAACATAGACAAAATAAGTTTTGTATCGAGTAAAAAAGAGATTAAACATTCATCTAGATGTCATATGTTCATGGTAGCCAAGTGTATCAAGCCAATAAGTTTAAGACTAATGGGAAAATTGAAATTAAAAAGAACGAAATAGCTATCTATCACATAATGATTTTTTCTTCCAAATGCATAAAATCAACAACCATATGCACCTGCAAAAAAAAAAAAAATTAGAAAAATAACATCAGTTGAATTAATTTATCTTTAAAACTGATTACTAAAAGAGACAAAAAGAATATGTATGCCAAAACCCCAAAAAAAAAAATTGAACAAATAAAGCAAGAGAAATTAGTATTACATTGGAAATTCAAAATTACAAGTTAATTAATTGTGAAATTAAAAACAAACTGTGCAAAACCAAGGGAAGTATTACATCAATTTTACCTCTATCAAACTCCGGCAGTGTCCAAAGCTTCTTTTTCCTCTTCATCATCGTCAATTCCTTTTGGCACTTCCATGTTTTCAGGCTTAGCATCCAAAAGAACCAACTGCCAATCATCAGCAAAAAGTCCACATTTTCTGGTACCTCAATCTGATTATTACCAAATGCTCTACTATTATTGTTACACACATCATGCAAACATAATTCTAACTTTCCATCACCAACATTTGTGCGAATGATGGCGATTTCATCGTTTGAGGTAATCAATGACGGAAAATGGACAAACCTATCGAGTACAGCATCAAACTCTTTGGTCCCAGATGCTTCATTCTCATATTCCTCCATCACAAACAACAAACAATGTTGTAGGTTGGTGGGATTAGGGTATGCATGGGTGGAAGTGAAAGTTTACCTTTGTAAAGAGTGACCTCATCCATCTCGGACACTTCAATGTTGTAATAAGCAGGCAACTTTATTTCCCCAAACACTTCATTTAGAAGACGGAATGAAAGAATCACGGGCTCATTATCATTGCTATCCCCACCCACGTGAGATGGAATCCAATGGACAGAGTTGTTGACAAAAGCCCTAGAAATAGAGTCACACAAATACCATGGGAAAACGGGTAATTCGATTTTTTCCCATGTGTCTTCTGAATGAAAATATCTCAATAAATGGGACAGTGTTTTCTTTTGACAATTTTGTCTTGGGGCAACACTGCTACCGGCAAGAATCATATCAAGGTGAAGAAACTCATTCTCTTCATCCTCCACATAAAGGATTTGGACAATCAAATGATCCTTTTGTGATACGTAACCAAACCCAAGAACCAAATGCCTAGAATCATTAAATGTAAATTTCTCCAAACCAATAGTTGATATTGTAATACTCAATGATTTTCTAATAAATGGGCTCCATAAATGGATTATGTCCCCACGACTCTCGGTATCGATTATAAACACAAAACTCGCAGAACCAAAATCTATCTGGTAGCAGTCACTATAAATGACATTTGGGATTCTCTTCATGGTTGAGAAATTAGTAGGTTTTTCATAAGAAAGTAGATAGAAAGGTTTTTCATGTTCATCAGACACGAAATTAGGGTCAAATAACATGAAGTTGTTACCTTCTTTTAGTGCTGCTACGAAATGGCGCTTGATGAATTCACTTGATGATATCAAAGAATAAAATTTCTTGGATACACACATCATGCACATCAAAGCCTCGATCAGCAAGACCATCAGTATTGCCACAATGATCTCAAGCAGAAGATTCTGGAACATGCTTAACTCCATTATTGCGTTATTGATGTATAACTTCTTTTTCTTTTTCTTTTACTCTCTTTTCTATTTGAAGGTTGAAATGAATACTTACAATTTTACATGTATTATGGAGATGTATTTATACATAAAAACATTTATTACAATATACAAATGGCATAGTCAACATTTAATGTTACCAATTACGTAAAGGACCGAGATAAAATGTCTTTTCTCTCTCCCCGTCTGTAAGGGTGATTTCATACCCACTGTTTGAAAAATTTTTCTTTGTCTCTTTGGTGCGTTTGTCGCGTCTACGATGGTAGGAAAGATGAGAAAGAGAGAAAAAGCTACAACAACCCAAGGAGGAAGGTGTGCTTTCAGAGGAAGTTCGTCATTCTCCATCTCCAAACAAGGTTAGTGATTCAAGTTCTGAAATTGAAGATGTACAAACTGGTGTCTGTGTCAATTTGTTGGAGAAGCTATGCCATAGCAACATAGTGTAGATTGGTTATGGTTCTAGCAGTAAAAAGTTGATTGATATTGAGACCAGTGATGAAATTAAGGTTAATCAGGAGCTTGGAGTTTGGGGGAAGATAAACCGTAATCTTACTCAGGGATTAGATAAAAAATTGGAATACATTGAGTCTGTAAAAGTGCATGACAAAGCAATTGCTAAGGTGCAGAAGGATGAGATGCAGGAAGCCCTAAGTTTTTGGAATACTTCGATACTCTGTTATGTACTGGGAGCTAGTCACCCTGTCTTTGTAATCAATGGATAGCTGCAAAGAATTTGGGGGAAATTCGGCATTGATAATGGATAATGGAGTTTATATTATCAGGTTCATATCTATGGCAGCTAAAGAGGAAGTCCTGAAAAAGAATGTTTTTCATTTTTATCATCGTCCCTTAATAGTGAAAGATTGGTCCGTAGAGGAGGGCTTTTTAAACTGGAAGATGTCAAGATGGTACAAGTGTGGGTTCAACTACCTAAACTTTAGCTTAAGTACTGGTGAGCTAAAACGTTGAGTAGAATTACAACTGTGCTGGGGAAGCCGTTAGGAATGGATGAGATGACTACAATGAGGAATAGAGCTGCATTTGCGAGGGTTTTGGTGGAAATGAAAATTGCATATCACATGCTTGATGCTGTCTTGTTTGAAGATGAGAATGGCATTCTCCAAGAGCAAAAAGTCAAATATGAATGGCTTCCTGTCAAATGTGGGAACTGTGCAGGATATGGGCATGACACCACAGTTTGCAGGAAACCTACTTAGAACGCATGGAAGCAGAAGATCTCTCCTGCTATACAGAAGGTAGACAGTCTTGAGAAGAGTATGGTTAGTGGTCAAGAATCAAATGGAAAGAAACAGAAAGAAAACACTGCTGCATCAACACAGATATCAGGAGAGATTAATGAAGGAGGAAACCGTGGAGGGAAACTACCAATTGCACTCAGTAATACTTGAAAGGAAGGGAAGTAGGGCCTAGTAAGGAAATATCAAAAAGGTGCAGATATACACACAATTAGGCAGAAGCAATGAAGAAGAGCATCAAATCATGAAGCTGGTCACCCTGATCCAAGGCCTAGCAATCATGACAAATCTACTTAGCTGGAATGTAACAGGGTTGAACAACCCTCTCAAACATAGGGAGATAGGAAACTATCTCTCTATAAATAACGTAAGTATAGATGGGCTGCTTGGAACTAAATTAAATGAAGGCAAAGTAAAGGAGTTGATGGAGAAAATGTGGACTCATTATATGTATATCAGCAATCATAGAAGTACTAAGAAAGGTAGAATACTTTTGATATGGAAAGAGGAAGAATATCATATTACTATGCTGGATAAGGATCAGCAATTCATCCATTGTCATGTTAAGATCGAAATTAGTGGAGTAGAATTTATAGTTACAACTGTTTATGCTGATCATCAATCACAGGGACGTACTCGGTTGTGGGATTATCTATTAAGTCGAGCTGGTCAAATTGTTCAGCCTTGGTTATAAAAGGTGATTTTAATACCATTCTGCTACCAGAAGAGAAGATGGGAGGATCTACAAGCTTAAGTCAGGACATTGGATTGTATTAGATGGTATTAGATAACTGTGATCTGTTGGAAATGAAGAATGTTGGAATCACTTTACTTGGAGTAATAAGCAGTTGGGCAGCCAAAGAATTTCGTGCAAACTTTGATAGAGCTCTTATAATTGATGCTTGGCTTGAGGCTTTTCCAGATGCAACAACAGTGGTGTTCTCTCCTTATATCTTAGACCACAGCCCAATCCTTATGAAATGGAAACATGAGGAACTAGCTTGCAAGAAGCAGTTTAGGTTCTTCAACTGTGAACCTACCACCCTGAATTTGCAGAGATAGTGAAGACGGTTTGGTGCAAGAAGATTGTGGGTATCTTTCAGTATTAGCTTTTCTTGAAACAACAGCTCCTAAAGCCCAGATTAAACGAATTCAACAGCAGATTCTCCGTAAACCAGCAGATTCTCCTGATTAAAAATTTAACATTTCCTCACGCAAAAGAAACTGTTTTTGTATTAATCCTAAAAAATGTGTTGGCCCCGATGGCTTTAATAGTGGCTTTTATAGAGAAGCCTGGAATATAAGTGGACTCATTATACTGCTTTAATATTTTGTGCACTAATCAATGCAGTTGTATACTCTGTTTGGCAAGAGAGGAACTGCAGGAAATTCCAGTAGTTGAAAAAGGGTTCAGAAGAAAGAGTCAGGGAGGTCAAAGCTCTACTATTTCCAATATTAAATTTTGCTTTTAGGAGAGGAAAAATTCTTTTTATGATTGCAATAGTGAGCTATTTTCCCAGATGTAAATATTTGTTTTAATAGATTGTTGGTAGGCATGTAATGGTTGAGGTTCATTATATAAAATTTTACCTTTTACCAAAAAGAAAACAACATGTAATGTTAACTTATGCATGCATAAGTTTGAAAGTGGATTATTTACTGTGGTGAAATCTAGCAAGTTTTATGAAATGGCCTGAATTTTTACCATCTTTAAGATTATTGGTTCATTAAATTTAAATCAATGTATTGTCGAAATAAATGTTTTTTCAATCTTTTCAATTGCTTTCCTTCCTTTTGGAATGTAGAGTAGCCTAATCTTTCATCTCAAACTTAATAATCAATCATGACAATTTCTTTAATATATATGTACTAAAACATTTTCCTTCTTAAATTTGAAATTTGTAATAATTTTTCTTTACTTTTACCGTATTAATTGAGCAAATAAGGATTATCGTACTTTAATTATTTTAATCTGCTTGAGTAGCAAGCATTAAAAGAATTTTTGTCTATTTCTATTGATGAACAACAACATTCAGTTAGTGGTAGATAATTTAGTTTCAATTGATTTTTCTATTAATGTCATTGATTTTTTTAACATGTTTCTCCCGTTTCCAGAGGTTCTGAGGTGACTAGGTTTTCAGGTTCTCGCCTCAGTATGTCCACTTTGCCAATTGCATGGGGATAGTGTCCAACATTGTTTTATAGTTTGCCCTTTTTCTCGCCATCTCCGCCAGGTACCGCCCTGGTTCATCCAATATATATATATATATATATATATATAGAGTTAAAAGTAATGATTATCAAATTTCTCAAATAAATGTAAGTAACAAAATACAGTTCAACAATTATGAATTGAATACTGCCAATAATTTTGTTTATCACATGGTCAAACACAATTGTAATGCAAAAAAGCTTTCGAAAATCCAAAAATATGAAATTTAATCAAAACATACGAGGTAAGCTGCAATTTTTGAAGAATAATTTTTTCAATTTTCAAATACACGTTCAAAGTTAACAATTGATACTTAATTATCGAACACTTTGCCGTTTGTACGTTTTGCAAAAAAAACTCTTGTATAGAGAATTGAGAAACAAAAAAGCTTATTATATTCTTTTGCATGTAAATATTGTACATTTTGCAAATGCATAAGTCCAAAGATTGTAGTTAACATTTTTACATAGGATGTTTCTCTTTAGTTTTATAAAGTGAGCGGGTCACACATTTTCTTATACACCCACTGAATAATGTTAACAATAAATTGTATCAGTCATATCTATCATAATTATGTGATCTTTGCTTCAATGAATGCTCAAAAATTATTATTGTATCATCTGATCATATGGTATACACCTCAATAATCGATCATTTATATTTTCCTTTCAGAACAATGTTGAAGATTCAAATACCAAAGTGAGGTTAATCGTATTTAAACATATTAGTATAATACATTTGCGAGGCATGCAAGTTTCAATTAAGGGCAAGGATTGAAACCAATGGTGGGTGATTCACTCTTTACACACAATGATTTCATGCATATGATCATTAGAAATTTGTATTTGAAGTTTTACAATGCCGTCTAAAGGATAAATGAGGTATGTAAGAGTTTGTAAACAATCAAACTATAAGGATAGTAGTGCAAAATGCAAACACTATAGCTAAGAGAAGTGCCTTTGACCGTTTTTTTGTTTTTTAAAATTCTTGAAAATTTGCCATGTAACACATTTAACTACGAAAATAATAGTGTCATTTGAAAAAAAATATGTGGATGAAAAGATTTTACTTACTATTTTAATAATTTTTGATGATATAAGGTGCCTTCTATTTTGCACATGAATTTATTTTCAAATAAAATTTGCAGATTATTATATTGATCAGGAGTTTTCTCATCTCAAGAGCGCTATGAAATGTTATTGACACATGGCATCTCTTTTTATTCTTTTAATACCCTCTCTAAGAGGCCTAATTTGATAAGAATCATCCTTAATAGTTGTTGCAGATTTTGAGCCTTTGAACGGCAATTTATCCAGTTTGGAGCCACCTTCTTCACCCCAACGTCAACTTGCTGATCTTCTTGGAGTTTCCCCTCGGGGAAATATCTTGTATCATCCTCACGTAAGAGTGCGAATTTGCGCATTTCCATTCATAGAGGGCTCCCTCTATGATAG